GGGGGGTGCAGAGGTGGGGGGTCGGGGGGCCTAAAGGTGGAAATAAAAGGAAACCTTTTCTCCTCAGATCCGGTTGTGGTTCCGATTCGAGTCCAGCTGATGTACCGCCAACATGTCCTCAGAGAGGTCCGGGCCAACATCACCTCCAGCGTGAGTCACACTCACCCATCTTACCCCCCCCCCCCGTCCCAAACACTAAAGGAAACGGATGTGGTTCTGCCGCCACATCACAGCCGCGGTATCGCTGCTCGCCGCCCTGATCCGGCAGTAGAAACACGTCTGGATGGAGAAGGAAACAGAAAGTGTTGGTGAGACAGATAGGGGCAGCGGATGAGACAGAGAGGAAGTGGGGGGGGGCTCAGCACGCCACACACTCCACACACATGTCAGTGGTTAGCGGTCTGTGGGCCCAGAGGAGGAGGAGGAGGAGGAGGAGGAGGAGGTGCTGAAAGGTGCGTCTGGTTTTAATTCTGCCATGAGGGCCGATGTGTCTCTTTAGGTCGCTGTGTTTACAGAACCGGTCCGGTTCGGGATGAGCCGCCATCATTCCGCCTCAGGAAAAAACCCGCTGATGTTCTCCTCCACATTTTAACACGCCGCACTTCCTGCACGCCTTTATTTCACACGGCGAAGCCTGCAAACGCGTGGAAACGTTTTCTGGCCTCAAAACAGTTTTTGAGGCGTTTTTAGCCTCAGCGTTGATCAGGAGCTACGATGAGACGCAGCCCAAACACATGAGAAGCACGGTGGTGGCTGCATGATGCTCTGAGTATCGGTTACAATGAGACAATTTAACATTAAAATAAGAAAAAAGATATTTCTAGTGCGTATTATCTAATTATCTCATACGAAGAGTGAAAATACTCCTTCCAGTAGCAGATTCTCTTATTTATCTCCTCAAATTAATTAATTTAAGACATTGAGACTTTTTTCTAGATGTTTTTGCAGCGCCGGATTCAAGCATTAAAGATGGTGAAATGTTTTCTCTCAGAGCAAAAATGAACCTAAAAATGGACAAAAACCAGAAAGAGATGAAAATAAATCTGTAAATATGCTCTAAAAACCAGCAGGTTGAGATTCTGTTAAAATGTTAAAAGTTTTCTATCTTAAAATTTACAAAAATTCTAAACTTTTAATTCGTTTTTCTCTCTGATTCATGGAACAAAAAACCAACGAAGAAGAATTTACTAAATCAAGGCCGGTGGGGGGGCATACCTCTGCTGCCCCCCCATACATCCATCTGCACCCCCCCCCATGGATTTCTGCTCCCTGTATATTTACACTGAGCAGAGGCCGGGGGTCATTAAGGACACGTGTCCAATGAATCCAGCATCTCAGGTCGACTGTCAGTCTGGCCTTAAATCAGCGGCCATGTCCCCCCCCCTCGTGCTCAGTGATGGGGGGCGGGGGTTCGGACTCTGTCATGCCCTCAGACTGCGGTATTTATCTAACCTCCAGCAGATCCAGCCGCCGCCTGGTTTGTTTCGCTGTCTCCTGCGTTCTTGTTTAGAGCCGGACAGCAAACCTCATGTCAACAGAACGTTTTCATGGCCGACCAATCGGCTCGCAGTCTGGCTAACGGCTTCAATCTGTGCAGGACCCGGACTTCGCTGAGGTGCTGACAGACCTGAACAGCAGAGAGCTCTTCTGGTTATCCCGTGGGCAGCTGGAAATCGCCGTGGCGACGGAGGGCCAGGATCCCAGACAGATCTCAGGCTTCATCACTGGGAGGAAATCCTGCGACAGTAAGTGATTCTCTGCAGGTTTGTGTCGGCCATTTAGCTGGGGGGGGGGGCTCTGTGAGCAGCAGCATGATGCTTCCACCGCCGTGTTTCACACATAGCATTGACCTGAGGGACCCTGCGACGACCACCGGCATCCGGCGGCGTCCGTCTCACAGGTTCGCTTTGCTAAAGGATCAACCAGTGGAACAGATTCTCCATCTTTACTGTTGATCCCTGAGAGCTAGAAGACCTTTAGGGGGGTCTGAGTGACGGGGCTGAATGGAGACACTCCCTCCGTCATTTGA